CAGTTTCCCCGTGTGTGTTCTGCATTTTGGGCTTTACTCCCAGAACCCATCATGACAATTAGATCTTTGCCTTTCATTTTCCCAAGTTAGCGAAACATTTGTGTTCACTGTATCCGTTGCTCCCTGGTAGTTTGGTCAACAGGCTAATCTAAAATACATTTTTGTTTGTGTTGACAACCAGCCACTTGTTGGAAATGTTTATTTTTGATGCAATTTGTTAGTAATGGAGGCAACTTGATGTCACAACTTCAGGTGGAGGAAGATAGACGTGCACGGCTTATGTCACTGCCCTGACATTATCTTTGACCTCACATTAAATGTCAACAGATTAGCAAAACCAAACCAAACTGTTTTGGAAAGTGCACTCTGTCATGTATGAAAAAAGCCTATACAAAGAAACCAAGCCAGTTTAAAACCCTTGATTTTCTTGGAAGGTTTAAACAGAGGCCAAACAGCCTCACATACATTAACATGAAAAAGTCATATTTTCTGGTGATGACTTATTTAAAAACATTTTAGAATGAATGCTTTGGTCCCCAAGGGAGGTCACACATACTAGTTTTTGAGACAAGAGATTGACTTGAAGACACAAACAGTTAGCACGTACCTTATGTGCATGTATCAACAGGTAAAGCAATGTGTGTCTTTGAGTTTAACCTTTGCAAACTGTAGTAATAAATCATAGTATCAAGCCTACTTTAATAGACCAAAGAAAATATTTAAATAGGCCCAAATTTTTGAGACTTTTTAGTTATGACTTTAATTGTAAAAAAAAAACTGTCTGACTTGTCAAGAAAATTGCACTTTTTACAAAATTATAGCCTATGTGAAATGATATTTATTGGTGAGGTGTTACTTTATTTAGTGAATATTTGCAAGGCATATGTGGAACTTAGCTTTGTACGTCCTATTCTTCATGCCATGTACAATTTGGTGCTGCATGTTCTGCTTGAGTAGGCAATGGATCCCCACTTGCTGTGGAGAGCCATATAAGCCACTTGTACTCATTCATGATTGTTTTCTGATGAGACCTAATATGGCTGACCCTCTATGGGCACTCGCAAATGGAGTGAGTAGTGGGTAGGGGGAGGTAGTAGCCACTGATTGGAAAAGGCCCTAGTGTTTCATGTGTTAATCCAGCCCCCTCTGCATATATCTTCAGTATGAATGCAGCACCATGAGCATGTTCTGTTTAATATTTAATCATACATTATTATTTTTGTGGAATTTTTGTATTTTAATACTAGTATTATTGTTAGTTAATTTTCAGACTAAGCTCTTGCAATAAATACGTTATTTCATGATTTCAAGTTTCACATTTGTTTGGGGTTGATACACCTCTGGACAAGAAATCTACTTTCCTAACAGCCATGATATGTGGAAGAGTTTAGCTGTTTAATAACATTAGCCACATGTAACAAGGAGAGTACAGTATTAATTCTTAATCATGCATCAGTTATTAAAATACAGAAATATAGGTGTTTTGGTGTCTGTTAATCCCCTGTATTTATTTAATCAACTCAGGAACATGACTAATTAAACTTTATACTAATTTTATTTTGTTATTCAAGCTGTACATTCTAATACATAAGCTGGCTAATTACTTAAACAAAATCCTATTCAGAGTTTTATCACTCCAAAATTACAGTCCTAAAAACTCTTTAGTATAAATTGTCTATTCTGAAATGCAATTTAATTTTATACTTTACAAACTGTAAATTAATATACACTTTGACATAGAAAACAGACACTCAATGAAGTATATATAGAAAAGACCAGAGACATCTGTTCAGACACACCTTTGCAAGGAAAAGGAGATAACCGTGGGCTGCCATGGACCTGCTACCTGGAAAAACAGCTATGGTCGCAATCATTTATAGCAGGCAATAAATCACAAAGCCCAACGACAAGCATGTTTCCCACTGATTGAGTACTCACAGAGTAAGAGGGGTCTGCTCTTTCTTGCTCCTTCTGTTCCAGCCAAGATACAGTCACTACTTCCAGCTAAGAGAGAAACAGAGAAAGAACAGCGAGAAATCAAGAGTGAGGAAAAAGCTCAGCAAGCCTTAAAACTATGATGAGTCAACTGATAGCACAAAGAATACAGCCAATAATACCAGATGTTATCATCTTAACCTATATTCGGGAATTTAGTTCTCCACTACAGAACCAATAACGATTCCTAGATGCTGTGTTGTCCTGGGTATTTGCCCCATTTAACGTTTATACTGCCAAGATCATTAGAGCCTACCTGAAACCCTGTTCTTCAGTTTAGACATTGATTTTCCTATCTAGGATTACAAATGATCTTTAGACCCCTCGCCCCAATAATGACTAAAACAACATTTTATACTAAATACTCCTGGAAACCTCAGATACTAACACTTATATTATGAAAAATATTTTCATTAAAAATATTTCATATGTGTTTCAATGTGTTTATGAGCAAACAGTTTGATAACTCTAGCAATGATTACATTTTTTGAGAAGGTTGTCTGAAAAAATTTAATTTAATGCCTCAGCTTGAGATGCTTTTCTGAGCTATGGTTAGAAAAATCATTGTGACTATGTAAACAGTAGCTGGATGACCAACCGCTGGACACCACTGCAGAAGGAACTCATCAGGAAAAAGCTGAGGATTTGAGAGATACTGTGTCAAGTTAAAGTAAAAAAAACTTCAGTTTGCAGGTTATAAGAAAATCCTGGTTGAAGGTTCTGTGGCAGAATTCAAGATCCATGTAAAGAAAACAGGGCTTGTCCATGGTTGTGTTTGGTTAGGGTGGACAACTGCAGCGTCTCCAGGTTATTGTGCGAAAGCAGCATTCTATCTTTATCATCACCTTTTCACTCTTTTCTCTACCACAACTTCATGTCTATACTTTCACTAATACTCCTTTTTGCAATATCTGGGACCAGGTTGTGGGGGGGCTGCAATCTAAGCTGAGACTCCTAGACCTCCTTCTACCAAGAAACCTCCCCCAGCTCCTTTGGGGAAAGTTTCAGGTTGTCAAGGGCCAGCCGAAAGAAAAGAAAAGAAAAAAGGCTATGTCCGATTGTCCACCTTAATCACTATATAGAGCCCTATATAGTGGTTCCCCCATTTGAGATGAATTTGAGACACTGAACTAGGGAATTCATAAGAAAAAAACAAACAAACAAAAAAGCCCTCCTTTTCAACTATTCCATTTAACTGAGCTGAGTCGACTCATTCAAGCCGAACTCTTTCTAGCAGCTAAACTCTCAGATATGAAACAACACTGATTCTCATCATATCTTACACTGTTTTTGAATAAATGGATGCTGTTTTGTTGTTGATATAAATATCCCTTTTATTAACGGGGTCATTTCTCAGTTATCACAATAGGGGAAATTTAATTGATGATACAGCAGAACAGTGTGAAAAAACAAACAAATAAATAGAAAGGCCTATGTAAAGCAGAACAAATAGATCAATATATATGTAATAGTAGTTGTAATAAAGAGGGTTAATAAAGCAACCAATAAACAAGTACAGCTTCCACTTTCTTCAAATTCATTTTTCTGTAATTTTTTTTAGTTGGATTCCCATTAGCTTCCATTGCAGAGGTTGCTGGTCTTCCTGGGGTCCATAATAACAAAACACAAAAATATAACTAACTAACAGTGTATATGATTAAAAAATAAACACATACTTCATTAGATGTTTTAAAGCTATAAAAGCTACCCAGCACCGACTGCAAAATTGACCAAAACAAGGAATGCAGTCCAGAGAACAATTCATACAAAATAAATAGTTTATTCAAAGCAGTGATCTTTGTTTTATGGTATTCTTTAAAATGTTTTGATCTTGATTTCCCTGACACTACATGGGGACAAATTCCACTCTACAGTCACTCTATATATAACAGTTTTGTTCATAAAATAGCTTTTACAGCTTGGAACTATAACCGTGTTTTTGCTGACTCTGCGTGTTATGTGCTCATGGTAATGTCTGCTGAATAGTATTTGTTCTTTAAAATAAGGATGCGTATTATTAATCATAACCTTTTGCATAAACAGCAGAATACTGTATTTTACTGCTGCCTCCACAGTTAACACCACAAAATGTATCTTTAGAGAACTTTACCATCTACTCGACAGCTTCCTGAGTTACTGTTTTAAAGTCGAATGGCCAGTTTTTACCACACATTATACTATCTAATTTACATGAGTCGCTAACAGTAATATTCATGTCTGATCTTAAATCATTTACTTTATTTATAAGGAAGTTGTTAAAATAATTTGAAATTTTATATGGCTTTGTGATGAACTACCCTTCACATTCCACAAATGTGAAAATATGTTGACTTTTTCAATTTGAAATAATCACTTCTTTTGCTATGATTTAGTTTTGTGACCTTGTTTCTCAATAAGCAGTAGGTTTTTTGGTCTTCAGAATGTCTTTTTTTTTTCTTTGGACACTGTCGAAAGTTTGAAATATTTTGTTCAAATAGCATACATGAGAGCTGAGAGGTTTCATAAAAATATCCCTATAAAATCACCACAGACAAGAAAAATTTCACATGATAATATTTCCAAATATATTTTTTTTAAAGCTACAAATAAATGAACAGGATTTTTGTAAAACACGTCCATGAAATAAGAGTTCATCCCTCCTCCTCTATCAGTCTTCCTGTTCCTTTGATTACTGTAATAATCAAGCACTCCATGTTTCATTTTGAGGACAGCTTTTGTGATATGGCCTACTGTCAAAAAAAATAAAAATAAAAAAAAGCATCAAAAACATAGCACACTTTGGGGGCTATTGGAAGGCCAGACCACACGCTCACAACAGCCATCTCTCTCCTTCAATGTCCTTGACCATTTTACAGGACAGCCTTTTTCAATGTGGCTCAGCCGAAATGCGCAGAGAGTACACATTCATCCAGATGGAGCTGCCTTTGGTCTAACGTCTGCAAGCAGCACTTATTTTCTGTAACCGTGTTTATTCCTCCTTAGATTTATAGAGTGAAAAAATCTTCTTGAAAATGTAACACAGAGCTCTCTCCTTTTCTGCTCCCTAGTCTGTGTGGTACAGACCACCTCTGCTCATATTACACCAGGGAGAAACAAAACATAGTTGTTTTAATCTGACAAATGTGCTTACATTTTAACATCAAATTTATCATATTTACACATTTATTAACAAACAACTGGGTTGAAATCTGGACCAAAGGTTACTTTTTCCTGGCTCCATAATTTTTGTATGTATGATCAAGCACAGTGTGCAGAGGAGAATTAATGTGGCCACCAGAAGCAAAGGTAACAAGGTGACTGGGGGCATTGTCATGTAATTTCTGTTACAAAATATATTAAAAGATTAATCATTACTAGATTTTTTTTCATTTAGTTTTAGAGGAGCGTTTATGTGCAGGATGCAAAAGAGGCAGGTCATCTCTGCCCCGCTACAAAAGGGGCAGGGACCGGCAGCTACCACCGTTCTTCATAACATGCTTAGGATGAGATAAATCATTCTATCATTCTGTATAATTTATTAGGTTGGATACCGAATATCCTATCTTGTTTCCATTCTTGGATTTTTAAGAAGCCCCCTGGACTAGACAGTTTGTAGATGCTAGGAATGTTATTTCCCAATGTATATAGTGTCGGCCTGAAATGCTCCATCAGTGTTACTGCAGAGAATGTTCCTTTGGTCCTTTTACCTTCAGAGTCAGACCTTGGATAAGTCAAAGGAAAAAAAGTAATATGTGGAATGTGCATTCTTGGAAAAAGATCAACAGAAAACTTTTAAAATAATTCTGTGCTTCAGTGAGCTATGTGTTAACAGAAAAAAAGGAGTATTAATAATCCCTATAACTTCAACAATTTAACACAAAACAAAACTAATTGTAAAGACCTGGATGTCTGCGCCTCATCACCAGAGGCTATTTACTCATTCTAATTTAGTTTCCTGCAAGACAGACTAAATTAATGTAATCACAAAAGGAATGAGTGGTTGGGCGGATAAATAAAACCCTGGCATATGCTTTACATCACAAAAGACATAACAAACAGCAATATATTTTGTGAAATAAAAATAGAAAACCTAATAAAGTGTTAGAGTTGTACAGGAGCTATTCTTCAATACAACTAAAAGATTTGTAAAAATTGTTTCCATTTGGTTCTTATTTGAAAAAGCGAAAACTTTAAGCAAGATGAAATACATTGAAATTCAAGAGAGAATCCATTGCAAAAACCCATTGCCTTTTTCATTGTTGATGTTAAGACTTTGTAAGAGAATTATTATGTCAGATGTGTTTTGACTGAATTTAACAAAGATTGGGCACAGGAAAATATAAGGTTTTAAAATGAAAACCTTGTTTTAATGTTTTTGTTTAACATGATGTGACATGTCTGCAGGCCGCAAGAAACCTTGAACCGTCGCAGAATTGGGGAAGGCCAAACAGGATGGAGCAAAGTTGCTTTATATAATCAATCATTGGAAATCAAAAATTATTAAGGATCTTCTATTCTGCAAAGAACACTCCCTGAAACTACAGTTTAAGTAAGGCCATTTATACGAATGCTAACAAACCAGAATAAAATGTCAACAAAGTAATAAACTAGCTGTTAATAATAGTGAAACTCTAGAGTCACTACTCTTTACTGCATTTCTTCTTATAATGTTTTTTTCCATCTTTGGCACCTCTGCTGAGTTGCTAACTGCTACCAACTGTTAGTTGGGCCCAGAGCAACCAAAGAGACGGAAGGTGCCTGGAGAACCCAAAACATGATATTAATGAGTAGACTGCTCAATCTTATCATAACATTTTTTTACAGCAAAATATCATACAAAGAAGAATTGATTCATCATTTTAAATACCATCTTTACTCTGCATAAAGTCACAGGTGGATGTCAGAAGACAGAAGGCAAGTATCATCTTGTATTCAAAGAAATTGAGAAACTGTTTTTCTGAAAAAAGACATCAGCGTCATCTATACTCTATATTAGCTTTTTAGCTGTCCTTCTATAT